GGGGCCACGTTTTCCATCAGAGCTCATCCTTCCACACTGTGATGAAGACTCATCACTGGAGGTACACCGCTTGGTGAGGCAATCATGAAATAAATAGCACAAACACACGGATTTAGCTACCGCTGTCCTGTTCCAACCTCATTTGTGTCCATTTCCACATCCACTCGCAGAAGATATTTTTGGTTTGGGTTTTTTTTTTTTTCCCCTTGTTTTCTCCAACAAACTCTTGCATTGCATTTTATTCCGGGTAACGCCAGCTGAAAACCACCAGTGGGAACTCAGCTTGAAGAGAAAAGGAGCAGAGCCTGCTCTGCTCTCAGCTGCAGAGCCCACAGCCCCGGGTACGGTCCCAGGGGTGTCAGAGAGGAGACGGAGACTGCCCCGGCATCGCCGAGGTCCCCGCTGGGAGAAGTGATGCCAGAGTAGGCAGCAGGGGATTAAATACACCCAGCTCAGCTGCCTACAACCACGGGTGGGAGGTTTTCCACCTCGGTGTACGCCGACGCCATCTCTTACCCGTGCTGGGACAGGTTGGTGGTGACCAGCACCGTTTTGACCTCCTCCATGCCGCCTCCGTCCACCGCGCCGTCGGGCGTCGTCACCACCACCACCTCCTCCATGTGAACGCTGACGTCCGGAGTGGCCATGGCCGAGGCAGGAGCGGGCAGCGACGGGAGAGCCCTCGGTCACCGGCTGCCTGCGGAGAAACGAGGAGAAACCTCACGGGAAAAGGTGTCCCTGCTAAAATTGGTCGTGGAAAAGACCATCGGGGCGGTGGGAGCAAGAGGGCTGCGGGGAATCCGCACCCCTATGGAGAAGGGGATTAAGAATTATTAATTAATTAATTAATTCTTAATTCTTCACGGAGAGGGTGGTGAGGCACTGGAACAGGTTGCCCAGAGAAGCTGTGGATGCCCCATCCCTGGATGTCTTCAAGGCCAGGCTGGATGTGGCTTTGAGCAACCTGGTCTAGTGGAAGGTGTCCCTGCCCATGGCAGGGGGGTGGGACTAGATGATCTTTAAGGTCCCTTCCAACCCAAACCATTCTATGATTCTAAGAAATCCCCAAATGCTCCATCCCAAGAGGAGGGATGAGGGCAGGATTGACCCTAACCCAACACACGCTGTGCAGGCCGGGTGAGGGTGATGGGCACGGGAAGAGGCAAGAGGTGGGAAGGGACTGGGGCACGGGTGGCGAGGGGCAGAGCGTGGGAGCGGAGAGCGAGGGACAAAACGGTCCTGGCATCCACCAAAAGCTCTCAGGATACTCAGTCTGAAGGTGTGTTTCCAAAGGTATTTCAAACAGTCTCAGGATTTCACGCTGCTGGAGGAGCCCATCACCATCTCCTCCGCAGCAGGAGGAAGGACTCTCCCCCTACTCCAAAGTCACACACAAAACCCCAAATTAAAGAAAGCACTTCAAGTCTGCAGAAGAGCGACGTCCGACAACTACTTCCAAGCGCGTGTTTCTAATAAACAGCGATAGAGTTAAACCAGCTTTTACAACCGACTCCAGCGCCCACCCTGCAACGCCAATATCTCACACACAAGAAGAAATCTGGAACACCCCCCACCATCCCGGTTAACAGGCTCCCACGGCCGCACTCCATCCCCAGCTGCTCCAGCTTCCGGGGGAACACCACCGCCCTCGGGGGGAAAGCCCTGGTCCCCGGGGATGCTCTTCCCACCTCACGCCCTGCGCCCGAGCCTGGGCCTGCTGCCCCCAGGATTTCAGCTAGCTGTAGAATTAAAAGCTGATTTCAGGCACTCAAGGAATAGGAAAGGTCAGAAAAGGAAATAAAACGCCCTTTACCAACACATAAAGAGCGTGCCCACGCGACGCTTCCCTCACACGGGAAGGAAGCAAGGGGAAAGAAGTGAATTTTCCTGAAATTTGGGGGTTCCCAAGCGAGCGACACCCTGACCCTCGCACGCGCAGCACCCCCTTCCCGAAGGGGTCGCGTTCCGGCTCCCACCACCTTCCCGGAACCGTGCGCTGACCCGACTTGGCAGCGCGATTGACTCCTGCCCCGACCCACGTGGACCCCAGAATCGTCCCCTGCGTGGGGACCACAGGATTTCCCCGAGCAGAGAGGATGGATCCCTCGGAGACGTCCCGTCGGGAAGTCACCAGCAGACCCCGCGCAGTTTTTGGGGCAGCCAAGGAGCGAAGCGAGGGCGGCCGGACCGCGAGAACCGTGAGGGTTTGCTAC